ACTCCCCTTTTTAAAGGGAGAATGATATTGAGTGAGATTATCATTGGCTCTGCAATACCCTTCAACCACTTATAAGTATATACATAACCAGCTACAAATTTTTCCTACATACTATCAAAAGGAATAATCTCCCGAAACTTGATTCCAATCAAAATGAGGTGCATATTATTCACAGTCGAAGAAATACTTAAAAGGAAATATAAACAAAAAAAAATGTTACTCTTTTTTTGCGGTGTTTTTTGGGTGAAAGCCTGACAGTTTGTCAGGCTTTCACCCAAAAAACACCAAAAAAAGTTTTGTCCAAACACGCCCTTAGTTGAGAAATTTACAGAGAAAACGTGCGCTCCTTACCCTACCCACAGATCCACAGTAAAAGTTTGCTTATTTTCTGGAGCATGTTTCCGGACTTCCCTAAAGAAAATCAAAACATAATTGAAAGACTAAACCAGGAATATAACAAAGTGTTCACTAATAAATCAACCATAAAAATCCCAAGGCTTATCCGAGACAAACATAGGCATTACAAGTCCTGTTAAAGCAGCTGACATGCGCATGACGCATATCTTCAAAATTTTGAACCAAACCACTAGAAATATAAATCAAATTGATCAGCGACAAGTAGAGAAACTACAAATTCTAAAGTACTATATCTCAAGAAATTACTGAAAGTACGCATAAAACATACACTAGACAAAAGAATTAATCAGATGTTACAAATAGAGCAGTAACTGAACCATCCAAAAATTAAACACACACAGTTTCACACGACACTGACAACAATTTGTCAAAATTCATCTTACTTCACCCTGATACAACAACCACAGCAACTTTTAGTACAGTGCAGATACATCTACATCAGCTACATGATACAACATCAAGAAGGGCATATGCCTTTGTTAACGCCGATATCACTTTCATAACTTTCAATGCAGCAATACAAAGCCCCTGAAATGGCTCATTGCATCGTCATTGTAGGTGGCTGAACATGATTAGGGATTCCCTCGAATGATTCACTAATCTTTTTGCATACGTAGATGTAATGAGATTCTGGATCCTCAAGAACAAATCCTGGCGGAAGAAGACCCTTCTCTGTAAGAGGCACTGGTTCCATCATAGAATTTGGTGAACTGCAGCCTTCACGCTTCTTATACCCGGGTCTAGCTGGAAATTTATTAGGAAGAATATGTTAAATTTGTAACAACTAATCGTACAATTCATAACTGAGTCTGAAACAACCTAAAGCCATGGAGTGAGTTTGATAATTGTTTGATTGATAGTTTTTAATTGCCTATGGAACCTCTGAAGTATCATTGTTATTGTTTTTAAACTACCACCCTCTAGTCTTATATTTGCAGATAACCCTAAGTGAAAATTTTGACTCCCTTACCCTCAGGGGTTTACAGAACAATCTCTTTTCTGAGGGTAAAAGAATCAAAGAAATCACTCATGGGTCTGTCTGCAAAAATAAAAATAGAGGGCTAGGAAGTTCAAAACAATGATACTGCATGGGTCTATCCACAATTAACTACAGAAGTAAAAACAATACCAAATAATATAATGTCAATATGCTCCCAGGAGTTACACCTGTACATGGGTTGGATTTCAGATCAGGTCTCTCCAAAAACTTCGATCCCATAATAAAATGAGTTATTGGGATCCAAATCTTAGAGGCACAATTAGATCTGAATCCGAGCCAAACCCACAAATAAGAGTCGGATTATGTATATTTATTTGTATCCAAAATTTGTATTAAATTTAAATAATGATTTTCACATAATTCAGTACATTGAAATGGGTGTAACTAAACAAACGCTATGATTTATCCTAAATTAGATCTTGAAATCTACATACACCAATCCTAATTTGGATATAACATTCTAGATCTGGAGATTTGAAAGAAATTCAGGACAATTTTCAAACAAAAATCCGCGTTTGCAACTAGAAATCACACTGCTATCAGGTTGTCAGCATATTAGGGAGTTATAACTCCCGAATGCTGGTACCGGTTCATAATGTTTAAGTAACTGGAGAAAATAGGACAGGTTTTTTCTTTTTTCTTTCTTTCTTTTTTTAGGGGAAAAAAATCAAATAAGTAATCTGTCTAGGTTACATGGATATGGGGACGGATATCCATACAGGGATGGGACACAACAACTTTGTAAAGGTGAGGTACGAGGACATGTTGTACATACATATCTTTACATTTATATAATAATTTACTTCAGATCTGATCAATATTAATATTTCGTTCGCATGTTATGAAGTTAGAATTCCTATAACATCTTTGCGTTTCATTTATTATATAAATATATAAATTAGAAAACTGGTCGTGTTTTAACCCGATATCCAAAAGACCCTTTAAATCCATAGTTTGAAACTAAATACAAGCTGAAATGAACGCAACCTGGTGCCCAATGAGTTTCCATAGAGTATGTAAAGCGTAGGATATATGTCCCAGCACGTATGATGAGTGATTTAAATTAAAATATGTATTATATAGAGTTGAATACACATTTCGAGCAAGTGCATGCATATATCCAAGGAGCGTTCACTGAAGTTTGGAGTCCAGTATCGGTATGACATGCGTACAACTAGACATCAAAGTAACCATGCAACTAAAAGAAGAAAACGGTTCGACTCTCTTGGGGAGCACCTACAAGGAATTAATCTCCTGGACCGAGGCCGTGCATGGGGGATTTGATACCCATGGTATGAAGGATCATGAGGAAGTTCCTTCGTCAAACCAAAAAAAAGATAAAGGTTGAAGGTATAGAGTACTGAAAACTGAAGAGGACTAAATATCCAAGTTTAGATACCCAGACAAAATAGTGAAAATGCCTACTTATTCCAAAAGGAACTCCTCCCATTAATATGTGCCCATACATCCCTAATAAGCACACACAATTACATGCAAGGAATATAAACTAGCATAGACTACTGCACAGGTAGTAAACACCAAACAGACACCTTACATGGTTACCTCTGTAGTAAATATTTGTATATTTGGACTCTATTTATTTAGCAAGAAAAGTGCTTGCATGTCCATATTTTTGCTAATTGAGAAAAAAAAAATATAATGAAGATAACAGAATGAGCAAGACATTCTGTATCTATACTATTATACTAAAATAGTAGCCATTGGTTGGGAATATGACAGTTGGCACTAATTTATATATTTACCTTTCAATCTTTCTTTCTATTAATATTCATTTTCTTTTTCCTATGTCTTATCTACATTCTCTATGTTTTCTCTATTTTAAACAAATTTGAACACTTTCCAACTTACCAGATATTAATCATCCATTTACAACTTCTTTATGGTATCCGTCTTTTTTGTGCATTCTCTCTCTCAAATTCCTTGGACATAACTACTCTTTCCTATTAATAAAGACATTCCGTCTTCCATAAAGGTAAAGCATCTCTTACCTGATAACAAGCGATCATTGTTATAAATAACGGTAAATAGCCCCGCAATAGCGGCGCTAATAGCGTTAGCGGTCCTTTCCCACGACGCTATCGTCCGCGACGCTATCGCACAATAGCGGTGACATATTGCGGAATATGTCTGTTCGTAAAAGCGGCCAATAGTGTGTCATAATGGTAAATAGTGAGCGATTGCATTCGAAATTTGCTTTTTGACTACTATTTAAAAGCGGTTTAAGGCTTATTTTTTTAAAATTAAATTCAACCATTGACCATTGCATTCCACCGTCTCCTATGATTTTCAGCATACTCCCGCCACATCTCATAGCCTTTGGCATCTACCTTGATACTTCCTCTCACCTCCTTCACCGTAAGCTCCTCTTCGGACAGTCATGTCACCGCTAAGCTCTTCTTCTCGAAGACGACGACTTGTTGACTCCTCCAATCATCTTCGGTATTACGTGATGGTTACATGTTTATTTCATTTTTAGGATCTCTTTAAATCATCCAATATGTACTTTTAGATTTCTTAGATTTTTCTTTATTTTTTCTTTTTTTAGTATTTATACATATCTAAATTAGATCACTATTAGACTTTGCGTTTTTTACCGCTATTTTACCGCAATAGCCCGAAATAGCCTTAGCGATGCCTCACCGCTATGCGACGCTATCCGCTATCGATAACCCTGCAAGCGATTTCATATATTTCCTATCTAAGAATGTTGGTTATGAAAAATGATATCAGGTTACCTTGTTGGTCATGTAAATATTTTTTTAGTAATATTTCTAGTTATACATATAAATTCTGAGTGAAAGCAAAGAAACAACAGTAAAATTATAATATTACAATATTATCGATGCGGCAGAATTTTAACACTACATACCTGCGGACACAAAACTAGTTGTAGTAACAAAACAAAGATAGCATCAGAAAAATGTAATATATTTAACACAAAATAAAATATAACCTGATGTAATTATACTCCCAATACCATTAGTTTTCACAACTCGTAATCGCTATGGGTTTCTTTACCATAGAGGTATGTTATCATGAGTTACACACATGAAATGGTACCTTGAAATACGAATTTATAAGTTTTAAATTCATTTTCCAATGAACATTGACAAATTCAAAATTTTAAGGGTTAATTGCAGACAACCACCCTCATTATATATTTATTTGCACTTATCACCTCTCAAGTATTTAGCAGCTCTTAACACCTCTAAAATCATGAGAAGGGGATCATCTGTAATTTGTTCTTTTAAACATACCAATCCAAGGGTGTTAATTGATATTAAAGTAGTTGAGGGTGGCAAGTGCTATTGAAGGTGTAGATGAGGGGGATTATCTGCAATTTACCCAAAAATTAGTAACATGAGATATAGCAAGGACACAAGTTTAAGTTAGTGGCAAACACAAATCAGTTATTATGCTGTAGGCAGAAACTACAGTGGAGAGAAAAAAAAGTATACTTACGTATAATGTACAACGCAATTTTCCATCTCTGTCCTGCTTTATTCAAATGGGGAACTCGTACTGATGGATCACCATAAGTAATCTGTAGAGAAGAAGAAATTAATTTAGATAATCTATGGCCTCTATGAAAACAAGTATTATACAGTGATAGCAAAAGGTGCACTATTCAACGTTCATAGAGATATACCAACATATAGATCCCTCCAGGTTTAAGAATCCTACATTGCAGAAAATACCAATAGTTAAAAATCATGAACATAAAGAATAAAAAAAGCTAAATATGAAAGAAAATGTCCTAGAAGTATAACTGTCCCAATGAAAGCTAAAAGGTAATTACGCCAAAACCTGCTCACTTCTTCTAGCATTTGGAAGGCACTAAGTGGAGCATCTGTGCCACACTGACATCCAGAAGCAAAAGAAGATAAATTAGACCAATCTACATTAGAGATTTACAGTGCAACCACACCTCATCATACAGTTCTTACCATCAAAGAATCCAGCGTTCCTATAAGATAATCAATGCGGCATTCAAACAATTCATCAGGGTACATGTCATGGTTTAATAAATATCCACCAGACATAAGAATTTCAAGGTTGTGAAATGTGGAAATAGAATGCAAGAAATTGTACCTTTATCAATGACACAATCAAATGATCCATCCTGAAAAAAGCTCATGTCTCTTACATCCATTAGCACATCTATAAATTTATAAGATTAACAAGTAGAAGTATTCAATTGTTACACAGAAGATGAATGTTAGCATGAGCATGCTATGCACAAAAAAAGGTCAGTGCCAGCAGAAAGATATAAGAAAAAGAACAAAGAGTTTGCTAGATATGGATACACTTCAACTGTGGAATATGAGCGCACTTCCTTCTCATTATCTCTATCACAACTGATGAGATGTCAATGTTCATTATTTCTACATAGCCATCCTTCACCATATCCTCTGAAATAGCTGGGGAAACAGATATAGACAACTAATATTAACTTAGCTGTAAGACAACGGAATTTTAAATTATATCTAGGATGAAGAAGCTTCACATTTTCATTACACGAGGACACATTATGCAATCAATCTTAAAAGGAAAAAAAGAAAGAAAATGTAAGTTTCAAGGCCAACAATAAAATTTGTGATGTTAACTAGTGGACTGAATTTGGAACTGAACATAATCCGATCTGTCTGCAAGAAATCACACACATAATTGTCACTAAGTAGCATATAATCCCATCACCCTTCAGCATGCCGACTAAAAGTCTAAATTATTTTCTTCCTGTAAATATCTGCTACATTTAAGCAGCGAAATCCTGCATGTCATACCACAAGACTTATCTTCTACAATGATTTTATTGCATCCATCTCTTTGATATTCTAATTCTTAAAAAGTTCAACGACAGAAAAGAATTCATGTTATGTTATACTCATTCATTTCCCTAGTCCTAGAAGCTTAATGCTGTTTTCTACCAAAAAATATCCAGGCTAGCAAGAGGAACAAGTCAGCTCATAGTTACTATAATGTTATAATGATATTAGGAATAATATATTAGGAGTATAAATTAGAGATTTGGTGATCGAGATATATTAGGAATGTAACTAAGAGAATAATTGTGATTAGGTAATTGTGATTAGTCCCACATCGACTACACAATAAACTTCTTGTTATTGTACCTCCATATAAAGGGGAGTAGTTGTAGCTTTTGAAATATGAATAAGAATCTACAATATTTTATTGTTTAGCATCTCCTATTACTCCCCCTCCTTGGCATGTTCTTATGACAAACATCGTCTTCTATCTTTTGTTTTCATCATTTGCTATTGTCGTTACCACTATTATATCTGGAACAAGATTGTGAAGTCACAAACTACTGTTCTAGATATATTAGGTTTCTAATTTTTTATCTCTTTAGTTTTAATACATCTCTTATTTTCTACTTCATCATTCCTATTTATCATCTTTCCTTTTCTTACTTTTCTCTTTGTTCACTATGATTTTCCCTATTGTTTTTGTGTTTCTTTGTTATGTGGTTGTATCGTCTTTTTCATCTTTTTTCTTCCTTCTTTTTCCCGGCCTATCCTCTACTCTGCTTCATTTTCTCTACCTTGTCTTATCTTTTTTCCCCTCATTTCAACATTGCTCTTTGGTTTAGAAGCCATTTTTATAGAATCACAATCCTTCAACCATTATTTTAGTTATCAAAATGAAAAATTAGTATGACTTATCTAACTGTTGGCTTATCATTATGTTCAAAATCATATACCCCCTTTAAAAGAGGGAGTTGTGGAAAAACTTTTCATGGACTATATTGTCCCTATTCTTTTTTCATATTATATTCTAATCATAAATTAACTAAATTAATTATCATTATTAATTAATCATATTACTTTTCACTTCAATTTTGTCTAACTTGACCCTAAAACTTTTGATATTATTGTAAAACTCTCATATTAATTATTAATAATGTATAATACTATATTGATAGACAATTGCAAGTTAATAAATTATTTTGGAATGAATATAAAATATAGAATTGTCCTAAAATTATATAGTGGCACTCACATAGGAAAAGTATAAAGAGTATTCTTGAGTACATAAGTAAAAACATGCAATTTTAGAAAATATTAGGATATCTAAGTGCATTAAGATATAAGTGGAGGTATATGAGTGTAACTTCCGTAAGTTGTAAGCTATTTATGTTTAATTAAGCCTATAAAGATTTGAATCCTTTGTTAAACACAAGCAATAGTATGTGATCCCTTTGATAAATAATATACATCATATAATATGAGGTAAGAGGTTTAGCTTATATTTATTTAGTACAGAAGATGTGGAAAATTTTAAGCATCATATTTTGAATAATTCTCAAGATTTTGAATTATAAATAAAATTATATACTTTGCTTAGAATCATATCATACTCCCTTTAAAAGAGGAAGTTATAGAAAAAAATTTCTATGGACTATATTACCCCTATTTTTTAAATATTATATTTTAATTCTAACTAAACTAAATTAATTATTATTGTTAATTAATCATATTATATGCCACTTCAAGTTTGTCTTGGTCCCTAAAACTTCTAATGTTATTGTAAAACTCTCATATTAATTATTAGTAATGTCTAATAATATATTAATAGATAATTACATGTTAATAAATTATTAATGGAAAGAGTAGAAAAATATAGAATTATCCTAAAATTATCATTATATTCATATAGCAAAATTATAAATGTATTCTTGCGTATAGAAGGTACAGACATGCAATTTTAAAAAAATTAGGATATTTAAGTGCAGAAAAATACAAGTGGAGGTATGTAATTGAAACTTTTATAAACTGAAAGATATTTAATTTAATTAAGCGAATAAAGATTTAAAGCCTTTGTTAACCAAAAGCAATAGTATGTGATCCTTTGATAAATAATATTCATCATATAATATGAGGCCAGAGGGTTAGCTTATATTTATATACTAGAGGAAATATGGAAAAATTAAAACATCATATTTTGAATAATCTTAAGATTTTGAATTATTTTTGAATTTGTATACTTTACTTAGAAAACTTTAGAAAAGGCTTTCGAATGACTACTACAAAGTGTTGGTCATCATATAAATAATGGACAAATAAAATCCATGATATTGGATTGCAATAATCGGGGTTAAGTAAAAAATATATGGGTGTCATATGAGATAATGCTCATACATAATACAATATTTTAATCTATAATCTCAGATATTAATGAATTTTCAACATAAGAATTTGTGTTAAGATATATGCTTGAGATTTGGGAGAGTTGAGAGTGGAGAGATTTGGGATATGAATTATGGCTTTTGTGACTTATGTTTTAGTTTTGGTTTCCAAACACGAGCTAATGCCAAGCCCACAATCAAATTAAAAATGACTCAATTTTGTTATACCATCCAATATTTTCGATAATGATCGATATATAAGAAAAAATCCCCAAAAAATAATAATATAAAACCAATATTATTAAGATAAAGTACTTAACATTTGATATCAGTCGATAGAGCGATATAATGGTCAATTTTTCATACATTGCCTATAAGAGCAATATTTAAAGGTAATTTAGATATCATTTCATTAGTTTTAAATCTCCAATAATTCTACATTATTCCCTTAAAATTTTAAAATTGCTTATAATTTAGGTACTAATATAGAATTATAAAATATTTGAGCTAAATTTAAAAGAATAGTTAATTCTTTGAAAACTCTCTCAAGTATGGGGAAGTTTCAAAAAAGCCACTCAACTAATTAATTTAATTTTACATAGCCTCCTAACTATAGAGGTGTTGTAGATAACCCCTCTCAACTTTAGTGCAATTTTAGAAAACACCCTTCGACTTAGCTTGTCTTATAAAAACTCTTCTGGTCTTTTACACGTCTCTTAACAAACCCCCTTAATATAAAAGACTTTAATAAGCGATTTTGTCAAAATGACCTACTAAAGAAAACCATTTTAGTTAAAAGAAACTCTCAACTAATAATAAAAGGATTACGACCAATTTACAAATCTTTTTACCTCTAAATCTTTACTTTTTCTTTAATCTAGCAAAAAACCAAACTAATTCTTTTATGGTTGAGGGATATTTTGGTCTTTCCAAGTCAAATACTTATCACATAATGAATTCGACTCAATGATATTAGTTTTGAGGGCTTAATTGAGAAAATTTTATAGGGTTATATCAAAATTTTAAGGTTGAGATAGATTAACTATAACACCCTAAATTTGATGAACAAACATTTACTCATTTCAAGGGGGGGGGGTTACATTTCCCCCATAGTTGAGGGGAAGTTTTCTAAAATTAACCCTTAAACAAAGCATAATTTAAGACACATGTGATATTAATCTTATAAGAGTGGATTTTATAGCAAGTCTATCAGTATCTCTGAAAATCTTTTGCTATAAAATTCGTAGAGAGAAATTTAATCTTTATTTGGGATGACTATGTGATCCTTATGGATCTCCATATTTTTTATGATTTGTAATAAATCCTTATGGTTCTCCATATTTTTTATGATTTGTAATAAATTATTTAACAAAATAAATTAATTTGTTCATTTTATATGTCTCATCTTTATAAAGCATACAGTTTGGATATGAGTGTTATTATATTCTTTTAACTCTTTAGCTTAAATTTTTGGATATTATTCAATATTGGATAGATCTATATTATTTTATTAAAATACAATCCATATGTGTACAAAATATGTTTAAATCATTCTCAAATTATATTTTATAGTTTTCTAAAATTAGAGAGTAATCATTTTGACAAATTAATTAAATAGTTGAGAAGATGTAGGAAGATTATAATATCAGATTTTGGAATTGATCACATAATTTATATTTTCTTTCTTGATTGAATTTGCACATTATAACTTTAAAAATTCTATAGAAAAGTTTTTGAATATCTATAATACTCGGTCGCCAGATAATAGAAAGTGGACGTAGACAATAGGTGCGAGTGATTTCTTTATAATTAAACAAAATCCTCTATGACCAGATAAACCTATCATTTTACGTTGATGAATTCAAGATTTATTTTATTATTAATAATAATATTTTTTTTATATATTGGTGCTTACATCATTAATATTTTAAAATTATAATTCCAAATCATTAAATTGCTCTTAGAACATTAATATTTTAAGACTTTAAACCTCACTAATTATGTGTAAGGTAAAGTGTTGAAACCAACAAGATTTTATATATTAAAATATCTGAAACTTTTTAATATATTATGATAATCATAAACTTTTTTACAACTATGTTATAGTAAATACATTAAACTAAAAAAAAAACAATTATAATATTTGACCACGTGCATTGCACGTGCATTCCACCTAGTCTTAAGAAGAAACGTGTGGTTGCGATTGCACCTCACTTCAGCAAGGTGCATGCCTTGTGCAGCATAGAGCATCAGCCATGTTAAGGCCTTTGTGTGTTACTTTGTGCCTTGCATTTTGAAAAACACTGAAATGAACCTTATCGGAAAATTAGTAAGACTGCGACTTGTTTAACATCTACCTATTTATATAATGACCCAGATTACGAAAATAATCTGAATATGTGAGTGGTGCTCAAAATATAACTCCAATGTACTTTGAAAGGAAACTTCTGATTTAAAAATCACTTCTAACATATTTTGCAGTTATAGGGCCTTTTGGAATTAAGATTCATCAGTAGACGAGGTTGACAGAAAATTTGCAATCATAATGGCTTTAACTCCCAGATACCCTTTCCTTTGAGCAAACAGGGGCCTTAACTGAAACCTTGCTCTTCCATTGATCTTTGGATAGAGATTCTATGGGCCGCTAGTTATCCAGCGGACAAGATCCACGGCATACTTTCTCCCTCCCCACTGAGGCATTTCTACAAACACCCGTCATCCGAGCAGCAGTGCAGAAGTATGTCTTGACCGAACTGGGCAATCCCATCCACTCGCCAACTCAACACAATCTCCGAACTAAGACCTACTAAAACTTTCCTCTTCAACCCAAAGCACCCTTAAAAGTCTCAACACATCCACCCAATTCTCCAAACTCGACCCATCAGGACCAAATTTTGAAACAACCAGCAGCCACAGCATCGCATTCAAGCAACATAAGAATCAAGATCGAGTTCCGAAACAATTAGATACCCTAACATCACATTCAAGCAAAACCCATCCACCCAAAACAAGAAATGATCGGACAAACGGCGGTTGCTGCACCCCAAGAGTCAAGAAGAGCAAGGAGGGGAAGGACAGAATACTAACCAGCATTCCCGCATCCAACCATGAGAATTTTGGAAGAGAAGGGGACGAATTTGAGAAGAAAAGGGCGGAGAGCGGAGTAACGCTGGTACCAATCGAAGGAGGAGAGTCCCTCTTCAGCGTACCTCTCGTCCCAATACAAAGCGTCGCCGTAGTTGTAGCTGTTGCACTGGGACGCGTCCCTCATCATCTTCTTCTTCTTCTTCTTCTCCTCTCCCTTCTTTATTTTCTCCCCCGAAAAAAAAATCAAATTTATTTTTATTTTTGTGGTGGGTGTCTACTGATTTTTTTTGGTGGGCACTTATATTTGACTGCTAATAGCTCTTTGATCTCCTTACATGTGGGTCGAGAGCTACCACTAAATAAATAATTAACGCTAGCAGCCGCCAAAGGCTTGCTTTTGTTTTACTTCACCCCATTTGGTGCTAACCGCTGAAGCGCGCACCAGGCCTCTTTTGTATTTGCTACGACTAAGGGCCCCACGTTTGGTAATTTGCACCTACTCCCTCAAATCACCGAAATTGATATTGGCCCCCCCCAATCCTAAATCTTGCTTTTAGTGCTCCTGATTATATGGATTAATTGAAACCAACCTATGAGAATTTCAGGAAAATATTGACGATTCCAATGATTAGAGGAATTTTTAAGACAAATGATAAGGATTGAGGGACCTAGAAAGCAATTTCAATGACATGAAGGATTAATTTGGAAATACTAAAGATGTAAAGGACTAATTATGAAAATTTTGCACCGAAACAATGGGTCCAACTATTCACACTCCCAAACAGTAACTTTGGCGGGGTGTGAGGACTAAATTGCCCTTCTCCCAAACCAAAACAGGCCAAGTCCATTCCAGAAACACCCTCAATCCCAAACCAAAACAGGCCAAGTCCATTCCAGAAACACCCTCAACATCAAAAGGGCATTTTCGGCAATCCAACTCCCAAAATTACTGTTTGGGAGTGGATATAGCAAACATGCGAGTAGCATGTACTCACCAAAGCTGACTTTACCGAACAAGACAAATTTTCAAAACTTGTCCTATTTGCAAACATATTCCCCCAAAAACGACCTGTTTCAACTTTATTTGTTAAAACCGATATGGTTTTAGCCCAGTGCTGAAACCATGTCCGTTTTGACGAAAAAAGTTATCAAACTTCACGGGACTTGAAGTCCCGTGAAGTTTACGAGATCGGTTTTGGCGAAAAAAGTTCTCAAACTTCACGGGACTTCAAGTCTCGTGAAGTTTAGCAGTCATTTAACTAAACTGCTAAATTTCACGGGACTTCAAGTCCCGTGAAATTTGAGAACTTTTTCCCGTGAAGTTTACATGTCCTATTTGCATGGTTTTTGCAAATAGGACGGTTTTGAAAATTTGTCCTTACCGAATAACATGCAGATCTTATGGAAATGAAACTGCTAAAAAAACCTGAGCCCAAAAAGACTAATCCTTGACAGATAATTTTACCATCCACAAGTATAACCATGGATTCAAAAGGCAGGTAAAGGATATTGATGATATATTCAAATTAGTAATGTAATACAAGAATCAATTTCCGCCCGATAATGCTATCCAAACTGGCGACATACTCGAATAATCTAAAAAAACACAAGAATAAACTTCAAATACATTAGATAATCAATCCATGAGATGCCAAATATATACTATCATGCCACACAAAACAGCTCTCTGAATCTATTTCCATCTATTGACTAATCAAAACTTACATTTTACAATTACCAAAAACACACAGCTCTTGAAACGTTTCCTTTCCACAGTCGGAAAGGGATGTTATATAGAGGATGTCTCATTCGTCCCCAAGCAATGGAACATGATATTTATGCTTCCTTGGAAATTGACTGTTTTCCTTTTTCGGTATTTGAGGGTTCAGGTTTTACAATAGCAAGCTGACCTCCTTCCTTATTAGCTTGTGTTGCAGCCTTGATCTCATTGCAGTGATTTATAAACTTGCTCAGCTCCTAATCCGATAATAGCATCATTAGCAAAATGATATACAACAAAAACAGGGGAAAAAATTAAATGGTACAGCAAAACCTAATACAGAAAAGGCACAACGAGAGGACATCAAAAACAATGGGATCACAAAACTGGATACTGAAAAAAAGAAATTAAAAAGGGTTATTACTATGTATGCAGTCTCACAGTTAGGAAATTGTTCAAAAAAACAGAGAGTTTTCACTATTGCCTAACCAGTATCAGGACTATTGCTCTTTTTAGCCATTTTCTGGGAACCCATAAACAATAAGAGGTTTCTCTAGTTGATTTGGTTTAGGAAGTTTAATTTGACTCCACGCAACTTTTGGATTAGGTTTTTCAACTAAATCAGTTTTATTAATCAGAAATTATTATTTTTTTAACTGTGTTCTCTGAAAAGACATAGCAACCAACTCTTGATGCCGGATGCAACTACAAACTAAGAACTAAAATTCGAGCCCTTAAGTCTGCCTACCCCAACAAAGCAATATTAACAAAATAGATAAAATTTTCTTAAGCTACCACAAATTAGATCTTTTTTCAATAAATTATAAAAACAGAATCTGCTTTGATTGTTTCCCTCCGATTCCTTATGTCAATTAGTGTTGTATCAGACTACTTTAACCTATGCAGAATGCAACTCATCTGAATTTCAAACTCTTTTCTGTGGCGTTCTTGCTTCTGTGTAATCAACTGCAAATTATTTGAGATCTTCAATGCAAATTCCTAAGATATGCTGACAACATGGAAAAAAAATTAAAAAAAGCATCCTTTCCATTCCCTGCAGTTAGTGAGAGAAAACATTCGTTACATTCAATTGGCTGAAATAGGAAGAATGAGGTCATATTTTTTTTCAAAGTAATGGAACCTTTTTTTTTCAAAGTAATGGAACCTTTTGACACGACAGATTTTTATGCCGCTCACTTTAAAAAGATTTCATTAACCTCCCATTTCTTCATGCATGGTGTGACTCAGATGCCCTCAGCCTTGTAAGCTTGAAAATTGCCACAGATGGCTTCATCAAAATACATAAGATGCTTACGTTTCACATGTGATTTCATAAGCAATAGTCAATATTGTTGGCCTTCTTGTTTTGATGATGATTTACAAACAATTTATATCTAATATTGTTTGTCTAGTGTTGGTGTATTTCTATTTATTGTAGACAAACAACGAGTTGGATGATGGATGGAATCGAGCATTCATGATCATATCAAATGGAGGTTGGCCGAATTGTGGAGTGAAGCCTATGCAATTCAAATTGAAGATCCAAGTTCTAGCTTCATCCACAAGTGTGCTAAGTTGAGCTACATCGAAGATCTATCAAGCTTGGGTATATTTAGTTTAGGTTTTATATTATGTGTGTTAGTACTTTAAGCTCAATCATATATACACACACATATTTGGTTTATATATATATAGTTATATATATACACAAGTTTTAGTTTATGGACTTAACAATCATTGTATACATATTTTATTAAGTCTATAAAATTATTTCATAGGGTTTCAAAACATTGTTTATGTCAAAACATCAAATTTCATGTATATCATATTTTCATGTTTTGGACACACTTGCAAAATACATGAGTTTTCACAAATGGGAAACTCAATTTGAGAAATTCTTTTTCTAACATGTTCAATTTCATACTTATAAATGTTTTCCAAAGTTTTATTAATTTTAAAATTAATTTATTATGTTTATTTGAATTTACAAAATCAAGTTTTTAATAAGCTCATGTTCGTGCACATGTTCGTGCATGTTTTTACAAAACAGATGCGTTTTCAAAATTGGGAAATGCGATTTCAAAAAATTTCTTCATTTATATGTTTATCATCATATATACAAACATTTCTCCAAGTTTTACTAATTTTGAAGTTGTTTTGTTATTTTCAATTGAATTTACAAAACTAAGTTTTTAGCAGTTTTTTTAAGAAACTGTATATCTGTGTTCAAACATTTATTTCTCTCAACTGGGAAGTGATATTTCAAAAATTCTTTCTCTAACATGTTTATCTACATGTCTAGAACCTTTCCTCAAAATTTCATGATTTTTAGAATTGATTTACTATTTTTAATTGATTTTACAAAGTCAGATACGCAAATTTCCAGAATCTGTCAAAAACAGAAACTGTCTATGAACAGTGCGGTCGGCCGTGCTACAGTGCGGTCGACCGCTGAAGTGTCCGTTGACTTCCAACAGCTATTTCCAGCAACTGTTTTTGTGGGGCTTTTTTATCATTTTCTTAGGGATTTTGCTAAAGTTTTGAGTGGGTATAAATACCCTATTGCTTTCAACTCTCAAGGAGATCACCAAGAGATGTTTTAAAAGAGTTTAACAAGGGTTTAAATTTGTTTTGTGTTTGTTTAAAAGAGTGTTTAAGAGTTTGTTTGTGAAGAGAATTTCACAAGAGTTTGAGGAGATCATCAATCTTGTTTGGGCTTTCAATCTACATCCCTCCACTTTTGTTTTAGAGAAGTTTTCTTAAACTCTTTATTTAGCTTATTTATGCTTAACTTATCATATTTATTTTGCTAGATTAAATTGAGTTTAGACTTGTTTTGATTTATCTCTTTGTTCACACACAACCTATTGAGCTTATTGTATTTACATTCATAGTATAATTTATGATTGTGGGTTTGTGACTAAGAGTTATGCTTAATTGAGTTCTCACATTGTTTAGAGAACAATCATTTGATTTGTAAGCTTTAATTATGAGATTCACTTTGTATTACATTAGTACACCGAGAGGAGTGTGTGGTGAGAGACAGGATTACTTCCAAGAGGAATGACGTCGGTTGACGAACCTAGAAAGAGGTTGTATCCGAGCACTTGAGGAAGGACACGAAGAAACCAACACTTAGAGGGTGTGGAGTGTAGTTACATTGTGAGATTGTGATCGTTGATCGTTGAGCGTTGAAAACCGATATTGTGTGGTGTAAATGTTATTCGGGTTAGCGTAGAAAACCCGATTGTGATAGTGGATTTCTCCCCGAGAGTGAGGAGCGGAGACGTAGGACGGAAGGTCCGAACTCCGTGATCATATTGTGTGTTTGTATTGTTTGTATTGTTTATATTGCCCTATCACAATTGTATTTTTAGTTTAAATTGTTTACCCTTGTGTTGTTTATATATCCTTGCATATATTTCACCATATAGAATATATCTCTTTGTTCATATTGCATATTCTTGCTCATAACATATTGTATATCTATCTTGCAAGAATAATTTATTAATTAGTTTTAATTGACATAAAATCGAATTAGATTAGCATAAGACTCTAATCACCCCCTCTAGGGTCTAACAAATATTTACAGTGAAAGGCGTTTCATGAGGGAAGGTGTTATACATTTTCTTTTTAAGTATGATAATACAAATTGATGGAGAACTACCACGAGCGTTCAAGACACATATTTTCCATTATTTCCTTTCACCATTTCGAACTATGCCAAATTTTGTTCTATTCAAAAGCATTGCAAATAAGTCAACTTATTTTCCAACCCCGTCTTTGAGTTTAATTTGCAGAAAATGTATTCACGTAAACTATCAACTATTAAACTCTTCAACTAACTCATATTCAATTTTTTAAACAGATATTTGATGATGCTATAATTGAAACCTGATGGGCCAATCCGAATCCTAATTAGAACCCATAAAAACAACACTTTCCACTTTCAGCTGACTCTAAAACCATCGCTTAAGTAAATTTCAAGTTGCACATTAAGGAACTCCTAACCAAAAATTTGCATCAAAGTCCACGCAGAATAGAATCGAAGGCAAACTATAACTATGTCTCAACCCATCAGAAACCCAAAAAAAAAAAAATTGTTGAAACATAAGCACATAAAAACTAAATGAAAACATAAAAATTGAAACTTTACCCTATTAGTTTCCATATCATTTGTGATCTTGCTTGGCTTCACGAATCTCTTCCCTAAAAATCGATTAGAAAAATAACAAAATTCAGAAAATCAAAAAAACAATTGGCTTACGAGACTACTTGATCTAAGATTTATAATGTTGGTTATACCTTTTCGAGTGCAGGGAACTTTTCCATGGCGATTTGGGGGGATGCTTTTGTTCTTCTTGATTCCTTTGAACAAATTCCCCTTCTGCGTCATCGTTTTCGTCTCTTCAGCCGCCGAAGATTTGCTTGCTAGGGTTTTAGTTTTTGTGCTGGTTTTAGGTTTACTTTTTGAGGATTTGTCAGATTATACATTCGCCCTAATGACCATATTGGGTTAGGCCCGTTTACTACTCTGTGGCCTATTACAGATGGAGCATGGGCCTGAAGTCCATGCTTTGGAGTATATTTAGAAGAGACTATTATTATGAAGGCTAAATGGCACTTAAATACCCTATTAGTTTTACCACCTATATACTTTAAATACCCTAAATTATAAAAAGTAATATTTTAATACCTAGTTGTTAAAAATCAACATGTCAGTGCCTTTTGGTAGTTATCAAGGAAATATTATTAAGAATATGTCCTGGCAACTAACAGAATATATTAAAGTGATACTTTCTTACAATGTAGGATATTAAAGTGCAACTTTCTTATAATTTAGGTTTTTAAAATGGTATTTTTTACAAATTAGAATATTTAAGTGTTAAATTGGTGAAACAATAGGATATTAACAATTGTGCTTTTTGGCTCGCGGTTCAACCGCGAGCCTGCGGAGTAGGGGGGCTGGGCCCCACAGCAGGGTGGGGCCCAGACACTGTAACCCCCTCTGCGAGTTGCTAGCTCGCGGTTGGTCCGCGAGCCAAAATTTATTTTCGGGATATTAAATACTAATTTTTTACAACTTAGGTGTTAAACCTACAATAATTCTATTTTAAGACATAATTGAGACATGCTGAAAATGGAAATATAATATACTTACCAATAAATGCAACGAATATTAGGCATAGAAGTTTTCTAAAATTATCTCATGACTTCACGTGGGAAAGTTCAGGGAAATTCTCACTTTTCGTAATAAAGGGTATTAACTATAATTTTTAGAAACTTCAGGGTATATAACTGCTATAGTAAACAAGTGGGGGCAACTATAAGGTATTTAAGTGCTATTTAGCCAAATCTATCTAATCTAATAAGTTATACAAGCATCCAAAAATGGACCAAATCTGAAAACCCCCATTGCAAAGTAGAGGTGCTATCTATAAATTTCTAGGGAAAAATTGCAAAATAGACCGTTTTTGCTAATTATTTAGTAAAATAGACCGTTTTGCTAAATAATTAGCAAAATAGACCTCTTTTTGGCCAACAGGCTAAAAAGAGGTCTATTTTGCAAAACAGCTCAGAAAACATACGGGACTAGTAGTCCCGTATGTTTTAATCACGGATTAGTGAAATTTTCTACTCAGAAAACATACGGGACTACTAGTCCCGTATGTTTTCTGAGTCACTAATCCGTGATTAGTTGGCTCTAAACATACGTGACTAGTAGTCCCGTATGTTTTCTGAGTCTTGTTTTTCAAAATCGACCTCTTTTTTTCAAAAGAGGTCTAATTTGCTAATTATTTTTTAAAGTGGTCTATTTCGCTATATATTTCATAAAAATGGTCTATTTTGCAAATTTTCCCAAATTTCTAAGGTGCATAGTTATTCTATGTGATGCATAAAAGTTAGAGGGTCTGTGGGTAATTTTCCGCGAGTCTAAAAACCCCGGGTCGGGTACCCGGCCCATTAAGAGCCCCCCGCCATCAAATTAGGAGAAGATGGCCGGAAACGGCGAAACTTCGGGGCAATCAGGCAGCACCAAATCCGTATCCTCCGCCGTCTTCGTCTTTCGATCACACGCCATTCTACTGGTAGATTCTCCTTTTATTCTTCTCAGCTTCCAACTTTAGGGTTCATACTGAAAATTTCTTGTTGTTTAATCCTCGGTATATCTAAAATAATTCCTTCGTTTTCTTTGATTACATAACTCCCACAATTTACGATGGTGGGTTGCCCTTGGTTTAAATATGCTAATAAACTCACTGCTAAAGCCCAAAGCTCTAATCTTTTTTTTTTCACTTTTTTACTGTTAATAATAGTGAGGAGAATGTGTACTTGCTCTGTAAGAAACTATGCTCAATGGGGCTTGCGGATCGCGAGGGAGCAGATCTTTTTGTTGTGTTCATATCCAACGAGGAGAAAAGGGTGAGACATCATGTGCTTTCCTAAACGTCCTTGTAAAAGGCTTTGCATGTTTGTTGGTCAGCTAGCAACAACAGGCTTCATTTCGGATTTCCTGCAATTGTCTATTTGGGTTTTTGGTACATTAACCAAATTGCTATGCGAGGAAAACACTATATATACGTATTTTATATAGTAATGTAACAGTGATAAATTGCTTATTTGACTTCATGAATTATGTGTACTTGAGTTGACAAATGCTTCCCATGCAAGGAGCGAACATATTCTACATCAAATGATAATACATGTCGTGTTGTGTTGTTGCTGGCTACATTTACAGTGTTGTGTAGTTAGATAATTCAAGGATGGACGTCCAAGTACATAGTTAATGGAAGCCTCAGCAAAAGCCTGGATAGCTTGGATGGTTATAAGTAGGAGAGAAGAGTGTTGTTGTCCGTTCTGATATATTATTTTTGGAGCACATTTGTTTAGGGATGGACTTGAATACTTTCTGAAGGAATCCTACTTTTTATGTATTATTATTTGTAAAACATGTTTCGACGATAAACCAAACAATTCAGCAGTTAGACTGGTTGTTTTCTTTTTTTCATTCTCTTGATGTATAGACAAAAAATTATGTAAATTGAGCATTTTAAACAATGTAGATCAACCTTAATGTAGTGGACATGGACAAATTTTTCCTACAGTAAATTTAGATTTCAAGCTAGGTTTCACGGGTACGGGTACGGGTGTAGGTGCTAGTACAGGTACATGACACAACAAATTTGTAAAAGGTAGGGTACGGGGATACGGCTGAAACTGATGGGTATAATCATAATTCTGAGCTACATATGTAAACTACCCTTTTAACTCATAGCTCTGAAGGCTAAAAGGAACTCAACTCTTATCTAATAAGTTACAAAAATGTATTGAAAGCAATGTTCAAAAACATGGTTTTATTATCCGTGTGGTTCGAGAGTGAGTCAAGATTAATCGGATTATGCCGAATTATGCATTTTTGAATTATTTTAACATATATTTATTTTTTATACATAAAAATGTATGTAATTCATAAAAGGTAGAACATATACTAAGAAAAGCGAAGACTGCAGTCGCAACTATGCTAACAAGTAACAAGATCTCATGAAACTTTGACGGAAGATTGCATTAGACAATGAAGTTGGTGAAGTTCACGGAAGATGGTAAAGTCCATGGAAGATGGTGAAGAGTTGAATCTTTGACAAAAGATGGTGAACACTACAAGGAAAAGGTGATGAAGAAGAGATCCGGAAGTAGATGGAGAAGAGAAGATCTTGCCGGCAATGGAAGAGGAGATCCGGTGGTGAAGAGGAGCTCTGAAAGAAGATGGAGAAGAGGAGATCTTGCTGACGTGGAAGAGGATGGAGAAGAGGAGATCTTGCTGGTGTGGAAGAGGAGATCCGGCGCTGAAGAGGAGATCTGGCGGAGATCCGACGTTGAAGAGGACAATCAACAGCTGATGGAGAGAGATTTAGGGTTTATTTTTCACAGAGACAACGAAGGCGGAGCAGAAAGGAATTAGGATTTTTGGATATGCAATTGGATAGTTTTTGGGTTAAATACATTTGTGGGTTCACTTTTTGGACCTAAAACCCTTAATACCCACCTTAAAACATGCCCGCATACTCTTTTTATGCGGTCAAGTACGCGGTTTTTGCTCAATTATGCGGCTGTCCGCAAAATTGAGCGAATGAGCCCATTTCCAAGCGGAAATGGTCCGATTCTGCATACTTGCCCGCATATGCGGGCGAGTATTACAATTTTTAGAACACTGATTGAAAGTGTAGATACACATCCAAGAAGTATATAACGAGTGTTTTAAATTAAACATGCATTGTATAATTGAGTATATGTCTGAAAATTTAAGGAGTGTCCAAGAAGTGTTGGGTACGGGTATGGGTACAACACGTGTCAGGTGCGGGTACGGCTCCATATTAGAAGTACCCAAGTTACATAGCTTCCAAATCTTTCCAAAAGGACTCAAGTCTATCTACATTTATTTGCATTGCTGTGAATTTTAATATTCATATCCAATTGTAATCCAACTCCACATTTGAATTATATTCTACATGGTGCAGCATATTTATATCCATGGGTCATTACAATTATTAGTGTACTAATATTGGGATGGGTAGTCCAAAAAGATGGAAGATTGGAATGCATCCTTGGTTAAGCACGACTGGTGGTCAATGAAAAAAAAAGTCAGAAGAGACTAACTTCATCAGTTTGAAAGTCACGAAAAAAATCTTTAATAGTAACGAAGTTTTGTATAGTCTGAAGAATTGCATATGTACTAAAAAAAGTTAATCGTAATATTTATGCATAATCAATGTAACCTTATGTATATGCCACAATTTTCTGTTCTTTCTCTACAGTGGATTTTGATGTCATTCCTTTTGATGTGTCTCTTTGGTAGATTCCACTATGGTGTCAGAAGGCTAGCAAAACAGCAGATGGATTGGTGATATGGGATTATCATGTAATCTGCATTCAGGTGACAGCTGAAATTCTGTAATTTACCATTAAGTATGGATCCATTAGTCAAGTAATTTAATGGTACTCCTTTGATGTGAGCTTTTCACTCTATTGCTCAGCATCACTCTTTGATTTCTGTCATTTATCACATGGCTGATTATTGGATTTATCATGGAAGTCACAAAACAATAATGAAGGCAATGCGCAGTTTATGGTATGGGATTTGGATTCAAGTCTTCCTTGTCCAATGCCACTTAAGCAATACATCAATGAAGCCATTCTACCACCCTTTTCCCTCAATCCCAGATATAGCAGGTATTGCTGCTATTGTGTAATTGCAATCTGTTGTCTGTACATAAAAATTTTTGCTTTTCTTCTCGCTGGACTTCGCTTTCCCTCTGACAATTTTCATTGTCAGTACTTACTTTTTCTATAGATTGCTAATGTAAAAGAAGTATTTTTCTGTATTTTTTGAGATGTCATCGGCATACATGTCTTGCATACCTCACCTGCGAAGCTTTCTTATACAGGCTGTTTCGGGTGGTTCATGCTCCTATACTTTTTCAATGCTTTGCATCTGATAGATCACACATGAAAGATTCCCTTGGAAATTGGATTTCTCCTCCTCCTGTGTATAAACCTATTGTTGCTGAAGGTGCATTCTTGCATTTACAATTCTTTCTTAAACTTGATATATTTTTGTTTGTTATGGTTTTTCTTTCATATCTTAGTTTATGGTCAAATGTAAAGAGTGGTTGAGGTAAGGAAAAGTAGTTTAGAAAACATCACCAACTAATGAAGCCTTGGAATAGTGTACTGTAACTTATCCCGGAGGGCATAGTTACATAAGAGGTTGTTACACAGGTGGCTTGCTGTGGTTTCTAAATATTGACAAGAAATACTTTGCTAATTGGATAATGATATTTGGAGGAACTGGTGCGTGCAGCAAGGTTCAAATGAACAGTAGAGCTACACCATCAATTCATCATGGGGGATAATTATTAAATTTCAATTATAGAGAGTATTATGACCCATTACTTAGCTATAATCTTTGAGATAAGAAAATGTCATGCAATATATGGCTCCATGCAGCAGTCAAGAAGCATATGCATGAAAAATCAATCTAGCAGCCAATTGTGCGTCCTTCATCAATCATATCAGATCAAGTTGCTGCATATCTATTGTGTATACTATGTTGTATTACATGTTCTAAGTATTTCGGTGATAACCTTTCAGAACAACTGTTGGTGGCATGTAATCTTGAGGTTATTATTGAGCAACCCATTATTTCAGAACTTGAACAGGCTTCTGCATGTTGGTTTGCAATCTTGCGAAGGCTGACAATTGTGTAGGAAACAATTATCAAGATGTCACCAGCATTTTAAGGGTCCAGATAGCGAGAATAGGGCCATAGTAGATGATAAGCTATAATAGCATAGTATAGTTGCATTTCATGTAGATAATTTGGCTATCTGTTACTTGTGAATGTGTAGCTTAGTTTGTTGATAATAGCTAACGCTTTTAGGAAGGATCAGGGAGCAGTTGCAGGAAGAAGGAAAATAAGGTGGAGAATCACATTGATGCCTGAAGAAGAAAAGGGTCAAAAGCGGTCTACCCAATTAAATGATGATTTATTTTTCAGCAAGCATTTATACTGAGAACCTGATTTATAGAAACTACATAAAGCGCTGATAACAAAATAAAGATAGGAGATTGAGAGTGACAGTCCAGATGCTTGATGACGTCCTCTGTTAAGTTCTTATTTGTTTAGAAAAAACTGAGTCTCGACTTTTAAAATTGGGTAAGGATAGAAGATTCTGTAACTTAATAGATTCCTAACAGTCTTCCTGGAACTTGCATCTTGCTTCTCTGATTCTTGATTTATGGGAGTCAAGGTCATGTTTAGTCGTGGCATACCTAAATTACTCATCTGGTTGCTAGTACCGAATATGTTTAATCAGCAACAATCATGACAATGCACTGTCAATCAAGATAATGCATGTGTCAAAAAATTGAGTTAGTATCTAGCTGTGACTGCACTTTTAATTTTAAGTGAAAAAAAGGATGAAAAGGCAACTTATGAGTGCTATAGTAAAGCCTAAGTGGGATGCACCTAGCATGCTTCTTTATCTAAAATATAAGCAGGATTCCTTTGGAAATATTTCGTGAAAGTGTTTCCACGAATAGTCATTTCATTTTGTTTGTGCACAGTGGCACACAAGCTATATATAAGACATGAAAAGGTTAATTAAAAAGAAATGGATTCACTAAATGCTTTTTAGAGTCTCTCATTTCTCCGTTCTGTGAAGTACATTTCCGTTGCAAACCCTTCAACTGGGCATGCATTTGCAAAAGCACACACATGAATACCAAGTATGTTGTTTGTTGTTTAAGAAAAGCTATGTTGTGGACGTTTGATATGTTAGACCCTAGAGGGGGGTGATTAGGGTCTTATGCTAATCTAATCCGATTAAATGCCAATTAAAATTAATTAACAAGTTGTATTCTTGCAAGAAAGATATACAAGAGTTATAAGCTAGAATAAGCAATATATACAAAGTGATATATCCTATACATGGTTTTAAATATCGGCCGATAATCCGATATTATCGCCGAGTTATCGGATTTGGGAGCTTTCCGCTAGGATAAGTAGGATTTTTAATCGGTTATCATTTTTTGAGGTTTATCGGCGAGTTATCGGCGATAAAGGCACTTATCGGCCGATAAGTAAGCTCTAAATATCGGCTTTATCGGCCGATAAATAGGATTTGGGAGCTTTTATTTTCTTTTAAATTTGCTCTTTACAAATTATGAGCTATTTGTTGCTTTTGGAACTTGGTTGATTGGTGATTAGCTAATGTTTGTTTATGGATATTGATAATGGCTCATAACTACTAAATATCAACTTAGTAAGTTAGTTTATGAATCTTATGATTAAATAATAATTATGTAGATGCATAGATGGTTTTTCATTCTTGATGTTATCTTATTATTTGCTTGTTTATTATTCCATTTTGACTAACATTATATTTTTTTTCAAGCTTATGTTTGTTTATTATTTGCTAGTATATTACTCCAATAAATACTACTTATCCCCGATATATCCCCGTTTTCCGCTATCCGATAAGGATTTTGATAAATCCCCGATAACCGACGTTTAAAACCTTGATCCTATATGATGAAATATATATGCAAGGATATATAAACAAAGGGTGATATAAACATAAACAAGATAAACAAGATAGTGGACAATGTGAACAATAGATAATGGCGACAAGAATGATATGAACAATAAGCACAAGTGAGACGCCAAGACAATCACAAACACACAAAGATGATCACGGAGTTCGGACCTTCCGTCCTACGTCTCCGCTCCCCACTCCCGGGGAGAAATCCACTATCAACCGGGTTTTCTACGTTCACCCGAACAACGTTTACACCTCACACTCGGTTTTCTAGCTAACCGAAAACTTTACAATCAACACACTATTGTAATCCCACTCTACACCCACTAAGTGTTGGACCTAGCCGTGTCTCCCTCAAGTGCTCGGTTACAACCTCTCCCTAGGCACGTCAACCGACGCCACTCCTCTTGGGACGATCCCCGACTCTCACCACACACTCCTCACTCGGTGTACAAGTGTATTACAAAGTGAATCTCACAATAAGCACAATATAACAAATGATTGTTCTCAACTATGGATGAGAACACAATTAAGCACAACTCAAAGTTACAAACTCTCACCACCCAACTATACTATGTATGTAAATACTAAAAGCTCAATGTGGGTGTGTGTAACAATGAGTAAAATAAAATCTAACTCAAATAGCAAACTAGCAATAATTAATATATGATAAATCAATAATGAAATTGCTAGGGAAAAGAGTTAGAAAACTTCGGTCGACCGGTTCGGTCGACCGAAAACTGACATATGAAAATCTGATATGCTGATTTAAAACACTGTTTAAAAATATCAAATAAATTCCAAAAAATATAAAACTTTGGGGAATGATTGTAGACATGATAATAAACATGCTACAGCGACTGGTTATCAGAAAGGACTTCCCAAATGTAAAATATCATCATTTTGCAAGGAGGTCCAAAACACGAAAATATAAACACATGAGTTTTGTCATTTTAGCTAAACCATGTTTTGAAGCAATACAAAATGATTTTATAGACTTAATAGAAGATGTAAACTATTGTTATGAAGTCTATAAATAGTGAATATAGTATTTTATCAAAATACACATATAATACACTAAAACATGATTTCATGGAACTAAATAAAATTGATATTGATGAAATCATATAAATGTATTAAGTATGAAACAAAAATATGTTTTCCAATTGTATTCAATTGTTTCATAGTAAAACTTGAAAACTATCAAACCAAAACATATATGTATATATATAACTATATATATACAAAACCAAAACGTGTATGTGTGTATATGATTGAGCTTAAAGTACTAACACACATAATATAAATATAAACTCCTAAACTAAATTACCCAAGCTTTCATCTTGATCTTCATTGAGCTCAACTTGGTACACGTTGCGGATGAAGCTTGAACTTGATCTTTAACTTGAATTGTATGTAGCTTCACTCCACAAATCCGCCAACCTCCATTGGATAATATCGTTGAAGCTCTATTCCATCCATCCTTCAACTACGTTGTTTGTCTAATATATAAGAATGTACAAACACTAGACAAACAACATTAGTAGTAAATTGTTTGTTAAACATCATCAAAACAAAAAGGCCAATAATCTCCCCCTTTTTGATGATGACAAACAATTTACAAAAAGAATATATGCATGAAGGAAATGAATATATAATTTATAATTCACATGCATATAAACAAGAAGGAATATACTCACAATATTTCTCCCCCTTTGACAACATCAAAAAGGGGACAAAAGAATTAAGAGAGCGAAAGCTCCCCCTATCAATCAGCATGGGTGAGTATAACACATAAAAAGATATAGGGATTGCTCCCCCTATCAAAATGCCTCATGAATGTATAAAATAAATGCTAAGGCATACATATGTGAGAAAGTATAGATTAAGACATAACTCACATACAAAATCGATAATGAGAACACATATAAATATGTTAATATGAAAGAAGTGTCTCATTAACACAAAAAGTATAAAAACCATATAAAAGAATAGATTTATGAAATCAAAAGAAAAGGAACATGAGAAACATGCAAAAAGTTTTCAAATGAAAACAAATCAACCAATTGAAATCATAAATCAAAATTTAAATCATAAAACCAAATCATCATTGATTTTCAAAAATCAAGAGAGGCAACTCTATCTAGCTCTTGAGCTAGTATTAACCCATATGAACATTTTAGCATCCGGTAAACATGATTTGGGAATAAATACCCAATAAATCCGGGGGGTTATAAACACAAACCTCTCATCAAAATCAAAACTAGGAATTATGAAAACAAAAGAATTTGACCAAAGAAAATTTGTTTTCATAAAAAGTTTCAAAGCATAATTTTCAAATAACCAAGAAAAAGGAAAAATAAGAATACTAAAATTCTTGGTTTAAAATTTAAATTTGTTTTGGTACCCAAGAACTCTTGGTACCAAAAGATTTAGGGACATGACCCCTATCATTTAAGCTCAAAGCCCTTGGGTTATGAACCCATTTGGGCGCATTTAGTGCACGGGTCCGGTCATAGCAATAATTATGCAAATGACCCATTCGATTGCAATAAGTGCAATGAAGAGGATGCATTTGGTTATGTTGACTATGTGGATGTGCACGAGGATCATTTGCAAATAAAGATTTTATTTTAAGATTATTTTGTAAATGTGAAACATTATCAAAACAAAACTTTCCTAAGTGGCCATATCTACCACAAACATCACATCTAAAAATATGTGGCCTACTAGAAACATTTGGCAAATAAGATTTTCTTTTTAAATCAAAACAATATTAAATGGCCAAAACGTCCACAAAGATCACATTTGAACACATTAGCATGTTTATGATGTGCATGATAAGCATATGCATGTGTATGTGATGAAGAAGCTACATGAGATGCACAATGAGCATTAGCATTGTTATGTTTGTATGCATCATAGCAAAATCTAGCAAGATGGCCTTTACGACCGCAAATTGTGCATTTGTAGACTTTACTATATATGTGTGCATGATGAGTAGATTTTGACTTAGACTTGACACACATATTCACAAGCTTCTTATGGTTGTTAATGCATGTATTAAGAGTTGAATCTAAAGAAGAAATACGATTTTTAACATTGTTCAACTCATCATTAGGCATATTAGCATTAACTTTAGAAGTAGAACATAAATAATTATTTATAAAAAAAGCAGTATTATTTTTTTCTAACATGACATTATCTTTTTCATGAGATAAGCTAGTTATAGATGTGGTTAATTTTTTATTTTCTAAAATTAACATGTCATTGTTTTCTTTAAGCATGGTATTTTCTTTTGCAATGACATCCAATTTTGACACTAGCTCCTCATGATTGGATTCTAAATTATCATGCTTGCTTTTTAAATCAATAAAATCTTTATGCAAATTAGTGTAGGCATGCATTAATCTATCATATGCACAAGCAAGTTCATCACTAGATAAATCATTAATGGATTCGAACTCGCAAACCTCACTAGGGCTATCGCCTAGTGGCCGTGTGCATGATGAAGCTCCACATGAACTTGAAGCCGGATCCGCCAAAGATTGTTGGATCGCCTCCAAGTCCCCTTGATGTGCTTCAATAAATTTCCATAAGGTATAAGCACTATCAAAATGAACAAACTTGTTAGAACGAGAAAAATCAAGTGCATTAAGCATATATTCTAACACAACCTTGTTCATGGTAAATAATCTTTTATCATTTTTATTCCACTTGGATTTCTCCAAAATGGGCACAATATAAGCATAATCAATGATTTCCCATAAATCGATATTTTTAGATTGAACAAATATTTTGAATCTAAAACACCATTGAGCATAAGGAATATAAGCATCATCTATAATTTCCCATAAATCAAAGTGTTTAGATTGAACAAACAGTTTAAATCTAACACACCATTGGACATAGGGAAAATTATCTAATCTAGGAGCAATATTGATGGCATAACCTAAACCATGCATATCCATAATATAAAAGGCAAGCAAGATACAAATAAAGCTCAAAATTAGATTAGCACAATAAGCTAACTTGGATCTTTAACTCAAGGCGATTAGACCTTAAATCAAAGAGCACCAAGCTCTGATACCAATTGTTAGACCCTAGAGGGGGGGTGATTAGGGTCTTATGCTAATCTAATCCGATTAAATGCCAATTAAAAATAATTAACAACTATAGGAAATATATATATATGCAAGGATATATAAACTAACACAAGGGGTAAACAATGTGAACTAGATAGTGGATCATATAAATGATGAGCTAATGACAATGGCGATAAGAAATATAAACACAAGTATAAATAAACGCCAAAGCACACTCAAACACAAGATATGATCACGGAGTTCGGACCTTCCGTCCTACGTCTCCGCTCCCCACTCCCGGGGAGAAATCCACTAACACAATCCGGTTTGGAAGCCGGAACTTCTTCTACACACTCGGTTTTCTAGCTAACCGAAAACTCTACAACTCACACTCTTGCAATCACACTCTACACCCACTAAGTGTTGGACCTAGCCGTGTCTCCCTCAAGTGCTCGGTTACAACCTCTCCCTAGGCACGTCAACCGACGCCACTCCTCTTGGGACGATCCCCGACTCTCACCACACACTCCTCACTCGGTGTACAAGTGTATTACAAAGTGATTCTCACAATAAGCACAAATATGACAAATGATTGTTCTCAAAACAAGGTGAGAACTCAATTAAGCACAACTCTTAGTCACAAACCCACAACCCCAAATTATACTATGAATGTAAATACAATAAGCTCAAAAGGTTGTGTGTGAACAAAGAGATATAAATCAAAACTAAACTCAATGTAGTTCTAGCTTAATAACAATGATAATCAAATATATAAAAAAGCTAGAAATAGAGTTTAGAAAACTTCTCAATATATCAAGAGTGGAGGGAGAAGAGTTGGATGCCCAAACACCAATAGATGATCTCCTCAAGCTCTTGTAGAATTGAATCACAAAAACAAACTCTCAATTTGCTTAAAAGCTTTTTAAACACACTTAAACCAAACTAAAACCCTTGTTAAAAACTTTATTAAACTTGATTAAAAACCCTCTTGGTTAGTTTGAGAGTTGAAGGCAATGGGGTACTTATACCCTCTCTCAACTCAGCCAAAAACCTGAGCAAAAGACAAAACACAACCCCAAGGCAACGGTCAAAAAACTAGCCGTTGCAAACTGAAGGAACACTCGTCGGTCGACCGAAAAATTCGTCGGTCGACCGAAAATTTTCATCGGTCGACCGGACCGGTCGACCGACAGACTCTCTGTCGCACAGTGAGCATATGAACTCAGGTTCGAAAAATTGTTTTTCTGATTTTAAAACCCTGTTTAAAAATATCAAATAAATTTTAAAAAATATAAAACTTTGGGGAATGATTGTAGACATGATAATAAACATGCTACAGCGACTGGTTATCAGAAAGGACTTCCCAAATGTAAAATATCATCATTTTGCAAGGAGGTCCAAAACACGAAAATATAAACACATGAGTTTTGTCATTTTAGCTAAACCATGTTTTGAAGCAATACAAAATGATTTTATAGACTTAATAGAAGATGTAAACTATTGTTATGAAGTCTATAAATAATGAATATAGTATTTTATCAAAATACACATATAATACACTAAAACATGATTTCATGGAACTAAATAAAATTGATATTGATGAAATCATATAAATGTATTAAGTATGAAACAAAAATATGTTTTCCAATTGTATTCAATTGTTTCATAGTAAAACTTGAAAACTATCAAACCAAAACATATATGTATATATATATAACTATATATATACATGGAAACCAATAAATGTGTGTGTGTGTATGATATTAAGCTTAAAGTACCAACACACATAATATAAACTCCTAAACTAAATTACCCAAGCTTTGATCTTGATCTTCATTGAGCTCAACTTGATACACATTGCGGATGAAGCTTGAACTTGATCTTTAACTTGAATTGTATGTAGCTTCACTCCACAAATCCGCCAACCTCCATTGGATATCATCGTTGAAGCTCTATTCCATCCATCCTCCAACTACGTTGTTTGTCTAATATATAAGAATGTACAAACACTAGACAAACAACATTAGTAGTAAATTGTTTGTTAAACATCATCAAAACAAAAAGGCCAACATGATATATGATTATCATTTCTATATAATTTAGAATTCTTTTTTCTTATTCCACTTTCATTCCTCATCTCGTGCTCGCAAAGTTCTTAGCAACTAAGATTATCTCAATGCGTTCTGATGAGCATATCTAAATGCTTTCATGACTTCTTTTTTATTCCTTGTATTTATGCAGATGGAACGAAGAATAACCTTGACGAGTACATTCAGATGCGTGCCAGCGATATTCCCTCAGATGTTGAGGCCTTGATTAATGGTATCTACTCCAACAAATATGGCGTCGTGATTAATGGAACAATGTTGGAAAGCTTCTTTACACAGATTTATCAGCGCCGACAGTTTTCTACTTTATTGTGCCAGTGAATGTATGACATATTTCATAATATGTTTCTGGTGCTATGAACCCTTCTTTTTTTTCTTTTTTTTTTCTTTTTTGTCTCCCTGTGGTTTGATCCGGAGTGACTAGAAGATGGTGAGGAACTGCAGAGGATCTGATGTATGGGTGATGACCAAACCATGTAATTTATCCAGCTTGGGTATCAAGTTCCAAATTGTATTTTTTCTTTTCTTTTCTTTTTAAATTTTAGTTTAGTTGCAGATTTAATTGTAAAGCCAACTAGGCATCATTGAAACAATTAATGCTGTGAAAGTAATCATAATCTCAACATCCCTTTTATATAAGAGAGTGATAGGCGCAGCTGGAGGAAACGTTTATCATGTATTGAGCGGCCGCTCTCACAGATGACAGGTGGAATAAAAATTTTAAATTTTATTGAATCCGAACATCCTGCACGGTGCCACTGTTCCACTCCGTACAAAACCAAATAGAGGTCGGTTTCATACCCCCCCCCCCCCCCTCCCCCGCTGCGGGACGGAAATAGCCTATTCATGTTTCTCACGCATGCGGATGTCGCACGCTTGGCCGCCTGAAATCCAGGAGCATTTAAGCCGGGCCGTGTGGGCTACATCGTCCTCACGCCGTTTCTTTTGCTTGGTCCACATGCTATCAAGAGCTTGGCCCTTCCAAATTAACTACGCTCCAAGCTTAGCGGGGAGTCGAGATGAACGTATTGAGTGCTAGCACTGAGAATGGAAGCTACCTTTAAACTCTGTTGTTGTAGTAATCATGATGTGGTTAGTAGTGCGGTATGCGGGGGGGGGGGGGGGGGGGGGGGCGTGAATTCACTGATGATACGTGACCTGAAAGTTATGCCCATTCGATGGAAAAAAAGATGTATGGAAAAGCACGTACATTATAGCATGTGTTTTCAGGTAGGGAGGCACTACAGTCACACCTTAACCACACTCCTTTCTCGCTACAGTGCATTGAGGCTAGGGGTGCTAAACCGTAACCGTATCCGAGAAAATATTCGTAATCGTATCCGTTAGGATACGAATATGGTTACTCAAATTTATAACCGATAGGATATGGTTACGGATATGGTTTTATAGTGAAATATCTGTATCCGTATCCGAAATATCCGAATACATATTAGTCATACTCTTACGATAGTTTCGATTCTTAGATTATGGGTTTGTGGTTAATTTTGATGATCAAGATGTCTAATCTTAACTTTTAAATTATAATGGATGATAAACACGTAAAATATGCATTATCTTAGTGTGTTTCAAGCATGATTTATGAGTGTTTAATGCATATTTCGTGTTTAGATCGAGGATATTGATGTGGTTTGTGTTCTTATATGTAGTATTGGCTCAAAATTGAAAGATTTGATGATCGTTGGAAGTTATACAAGAGTTTGAAGAAACAACAAGATTTCGAAGGCATAGGTCGTGAAGAAAACGGATGCACGAGTATGAAGAATTGGAAATTCAACCATGATGCAGTTCGAATCAATAAAAACTCAAAAGATAAAAGTTGTATATCTCTTCAACAGGTTTCCAATGCAACTTGAATCATCTCATTCCGAGGTCGGACGCAAAAGTTATAGCCAAAATACCGAAAACTAAACAAAGAAGCACAAAATCAGCAAAACAGCCCCTACCACACCCTGGTGTGGTGCAGACCACACCTGTGGCGTGGGAATTAGTTATTTTCCAGATTTTTGGGGACATATAAATAGATGTTTTGACTTAGGGTTTTGGATATATTTTGTTATGTTCTCTTAGCCATTAATTAGCAATTATTTTGGAGTTCAAGTATTGAAGAAAGACACTAATTTCTTGTACAAGATTGGATTGCAAGTTTTGATTTTGAAGATCTCAATTGAAAGACGAGTTAATTCTTTCCTCTCTTTGATTTATTTCTTCTTATGATTGATTTGCATAATTATTTGATGTATTCTCTTATCTCAATCATGTGTGAGTAGATTTCTTGTCTAGGATTGGGAAAGAACCTAACTTTTTGGTGATTGATGATGAATTGATATAGGTTCTTGGTGAAAGTTTAAATCTTTGAACTTGATTTCTAGTGTTTTAATTTTGTTGATTCGCTTGATCACCGTATTAGCAATCATAGGTAATTAATTGAAGGACTGAAAGGTGAAGATTAATACCGGATCTTTAGAAATTAAGTAGGGAGCTCGAACCACGAAAGTAGACTAGATTCCTTGGGGATTTGATTTGGGTTAGCATAAAGCTTAATGAGTTTAACTTAATCTTAATTCTACGAAAGTAGGTTAATTGAGATTAATTAGGCACGATCTTTAGACCTTGAAAAAGGCTTTAGATTAATTTAGGCTAATTCACCCTTTTTAGTTTAAACCAACACCGAGAACTGAAATAATTCATCATTGAGCATCAAAGTTGTGGTGATAACACAATCCTGGCTCTTCATTATATTGAATTCCACCTGATTAGTTATTATTTTATTTCTTTTAATTTTTATCTCTTCTAATTTACTCATTAGATTTAGCTAGTCGAATAACGTGAGATTTGGTAATTAACCCTAGTCCCTGTGGGATCGACCTTGATAGCTACAACGAGTCTGTGTGCTTGCAGATTTTGCCTATCAATGGACATATTAACAAACTCTTTTATATCACATGAACTATGTTTTTCTCAATACTATCTAGTTTTCTCATATCTGTTTTGTATCTGCATGCATATCTGCTTATATATCCGTATGTATATCCGTAACCGTATCCGATTTTAGCGGATATGGTTATAAATTTTTTTTACCGAGGTATATCTGTATCCATATCCGAGATGGGTAAGCGGATATGGATATGATAAGATCATATCCGAGCTGTATCCGGACCGAATGCACCCCTAATTGAGGCCCACATGAGAATTTTTTAAAATTCTTGTGTGGGCCCCAATGCATTGTAACGAGAGAGGGGTGTGGTTAGAGGGTGTGCCTCTAGCATTTTCCAATCTACATAGTCCAACATATCACAGTGTGTTAGGGGCTATTTGTTTTGCTGTCAGTTTTGGTAGCTTTCTTGCCAAAACGCCCTTAAAAAAGGGTGTTTTGGCAAGAAAGCTGTCATAACTGACAGTACCTGTCAGTTTTGACAAGGAATCAGGGGCAAAAGAAACTAACCAAACAGCCCCTTAAGAAGGGGAACCGTTTGTTCTAGTTAACTCTTAGTCTCTTTCAAAAGCAGTGAAAAAAGAATTTTTTTTAAGCAAACAAACCTTTAATCATATAAGCGAAGAAACTGCCTAAAGAAAATTTCCATTTTCAATAAAATCCAGGAGGGATTGACAAGTGAATTCTCAAATAAAATAAAATATGTTCCTGTTATTTTTTAGATAAATTGACTATGAACTAAATGTACCCTCTCATGAAATAATTTGCATTGAATTATTGTTGTAAGGGGCTGTTTGGATCGGTAACAGGGAGGAAAGTTGCAAAAAAGCTGACATTTTAGCAGCTTTCCCCCTCATTTTCCCTTCCAAAAACCGGAACCAAACAACCCCTAAGTCACCAACATTATCAATTTTGATCTGCAACTGATAGTGCTCCTGATGGCCCCAAACTGAAACGTATCAAACAACTCCATCTAAGGTGAACCAATGGCCGTATCCAAATCAAGTCCATCAGCTGCAATCGATTCCGACACATCATCTGCATCCAAAACCAAATGATCCCCAATCTGTGACACCTCAGCTGGAATCCTAAACGATGCAGTATGATCTGGAGTATGTTGAGTAATCTCCACCCAACGTGAAATAGCATCACCCTCCACCTGCTGTGATATCCAAACGACCTGATCAACACTCTCTACCTGCCGAGAGTCAAAAGTGACATACCTGCTCTGAACAAAATCAGAAGCTCCCAAACGATAATCAACTGAGCCTCTAAATCCCAAACGTGCAATCGGATCAAATCTCACATCCTCGATATGACCAAATGCTGGGTAACCAAATATCCGACGCCAACCAAAATATGAAGCAGCTCCACCAGATCTAATAACTCCTAATGTAGCAGTCGACGACCTGTGACTAAGATGATCCAAATATATCGAAGTTCCAAAACCTAAACCAATGCTCGACAACCAACGCCGATCCTCCTCCAGAAAGAAACGACCCATCTGAAATGTCATCTCATCTCGTCGCCCCAATGTCTCCACATCAATGAAGTGTCTCAAACTGCCATGAGCTCGGCACAAATACAAGAAAGAACACCTATCAAAGCTAGAATGATGGATTACCTTTCTGCCAATACACTTCTTCCAATTGTTGTTGACTTCTAGGACTTTACACCAACGGGAAGTGGTCATGACCCAATAATGCCTAGGACAATCACCAACTACGGAAATAAAATATCGATTACCTCCCAATGATGCTTCCTTGGAAGGCTCCAAAATGCCTGACTGAACACCTCCTAAAAGACCCCTCGATCGATGGATAGAAGTGCCAAACTCCACCTCGGTCTTCTCACTCATCCCAATGTGCTCAAAGGACTTCTATATGCAGGTCAACGCACTCCTCAACAAACTATGCACGACATCACCAATCAAGTACTCCAGCATCAAACAACGCCACAGTCTAACCAAATCCAATAAAGTCGTCAGCGCTCTATCAATCATCGTGCTCCCAAGCAAATAGTATAAATTACTCCTTCTGACGCCCTTCATCACAATCATAGATCCAAATGTGACCTTTAAACGTGCATCCGCCAAGGTCACCCTATAGCCTGCTGCCTCCAAAACTCTAAGTGAAATAATGTTCTTCTTCAATTGAGGAACAAACCTTACTTCAACCAACTCCGAACGAACCTTACTTCAACTAACTCCCGAATCGCCCCATCACTCATCCGAATACGAACGGTACCGATACCACCAATAGGATATTTGTGATCATTACCCATGAGCACAACATTCTCTCTTTCCAACTCCTGAAAGCTGGAAAACCAATTCATCCTAAGACAAATATGATATGAGACACCCGAATCCAACATCCACTCAGTGGAGTCGGCAACACAAACTGACAGAAGTGCTAGGCACGAATAGCCCGAAGAATCTGAATCTGAGATATCGCCACTAGCCTTGGTAACATTCACCTCTGAAGCTTCAATAGCTTTCCCCTTATTCTTCCTGGCTTGTTCATTCAATTTTGGGCATTCAGCTTTCCAATGTCCATCTTCTCTACAAAAGACACACTGATTCCTATGAACTCCAAGATGTGTCTCCCTAAACTGCGACCTTCTACCTTGGTTTGGACACTT